AAAAAAAAAACTTAACTTTCAATTACATTTAGCCTTATTCCAACTTGGGCATCAGCAGCTTCGGCACATAACAAAAACAACAACAATTATAGACAAGAGGAAATTGATGTTGAGATTTAACTAGACAGGAGAAGATTGCTTACCTTTCTCCCACAGGGGATCAGGTAGATTCAAACTACCATAATATTTTAAAAAATATTTTATTATCATTTTAGTGAAGGCTTACATAGATTTTTAGCTTCCAATTCAGTAATTTCTGTACAAGTAGGCCAGTGGCATAGGCTATGTTCTTCGCAGTGCATGAAACTCCTTATTTCCTTACTGGTTGGTGCCTATGTGTTTGAGATCCACTAGCACCCAGCCTGCCGCTAGCACACAGCCTGCATTATCTTGTCCCTCAAAGTGGTCATCTAGTCATCATATTCTTTAATTCTATATGTTTCATCAGTGCCATCTAGGTATATATAATCATCCTCTGACTCAAAATGTGCCATGCCAGTCCATCTCATTTAGTCAATACCTAGTATGTCAATATTTATGCGTTCCATTTCCTTCTTAACAATATCCAAAGTACTGGAGAGCAATGATGTCAGTCTGGAGACTAAGGTATGCCTGATACACACTATGGTCTTTCCAATCACTTGTTATGCATCAGAGAGCTGGACAATGACTAGGGATGATAGAAGTAGAGTTGATGCCTTTGAGCTAGAAAAGAGTAGTGAATATGTTGTGGACTGCTAGGAGAACAAACAAGTTCTTCCTGGAGAGAGTGAAGCCAGGCTACTCCTTGGAGACAAGGATTCTGAAGCTTCATCTGATATATTTGGACATGTTGCAAGGCAGGACCAGTCCTTGGAGACGGACATCATGCTTGGGAGGGTAGAGGGACGGCAAAGAAGAGGAAGACCCTAGATGAGATGTATTGATTCATTGACTGGGGTAATGGGGGTAGGTGTGTCAGAGACAATAAGATTGGCAAGGGATAGAACAGGGTTTAGGGCTGTTATACATAGGGTCACTATGTATATGCAGGGAACTCAACAGCACATAACAACAGGTATATATAATACACGAGCTTGGTGGTGCAGTATGGAGTGGGCTCCAGAGTAGAAAGATGAGTACTTTCCTCTCATGCAATTTACTGTCTCAGAAACCTGATGGAGGGACACTATGCATAATGAAGTCTTTTGGAATGAATTTTAACTAAGTTTCATTTTGGTGAAAGAGTCTCAGTAATTTTCAATTTCTTTTTCAGGATAGTTTCTAGAAGTTCAATGAGC